GAAGTAAGAAAAATGGGGTAACTTGTTTAAGTGAATTTTAAGTACTAAAATGCATCAAAATGCATGATTTTGGGTGCCGGACCCCCCTTACTTGGCTTCGATTATTTTTAGGAAAGGGACACTTTCATCTCTGAAGTAAGTAATACTCAATGTATCAGATATAAAGGTTTGGTTATTATTTTTTTGTCCATAATGCTTGTTCATGAATGACTTCTACTTGCCTAGTGCCCTGGGAGTTGAAGTACTTGTTGGTGACTTAAACGCTATGAACTACAGTCAAAAAGATGTGATGGGTGTTTTGTTTCAATATCCTGATACTGAAGGAGCAATTAATGACTTTTCAGAACTGGTGCACAAGTGTCATGAATATGGAGTAAGTTGCAAGTTTTATGTACTTTATCTGTTTTCTTATGCAGATAAATCTAAATTTTAGGGAAGTAACATGTATGAATAAAAAGAAAGCATATTGTAAATGTACAAAAATATTGAAGATATTGTAGCCTGGGTCAAGTCAGCCTAAAAGACAATCAACACAGAGCCTGATTTTGAGAGTTCTTGTGTATTTAATAAGTTACTGATTTTCTGGGGATGTAATGTTTTATCCTTTTAATTGGTTAACGATTTAGCCATGTGATTAAATTTTCATTTGGTAACTTGGAGCTAATAGTTTTTACTAAATATGAGAATGAATGAAGACTACTTTTGTCATACCCCTTGAAAACTAGTTTTAGTTATTTGGTTTTAAAAATTTATAAGTAGAATAACTTAGTGTAGATATGGGAACATTATTTATGAAGAGCAAATGCTTGGGGAGTTATGACATTGATAATGTTACATGCTATGCTAAGGCAAGATAAGAAGGAGATGTGTGAAATATTCTAAATGTCAATATCTCTTAAGTTGTATTTGTGTTTGATAACTTTTGTTTTTTGAAATATAACTGTGGGGTTCAGTAGTCTACTGAACATGCATCTGATAAAAATATGCCCCAATTTCAAAGGGATATGACAGTAACTTAAACTTTATGAAAACGAATGCTTCAAAAGTTGTACATTTTTAGTATGAGTGGGATTTCTTTTCATATAGTTCAGTATTAACCATGTTAATTTATGAAGTCAGATTGAAGCCTACCTTCCAAAATGAATAGTCAAGGTAACCCAGCCTTTTTTTTTCTGGTCAGATCTAGTTAACTGAAAAGTTGTAAACTGTAGGTCAGTGGTAAAAATTGTAGTTTTGCTACTTTGGTAACATTTTGGTAAACTAAAACACCATTGCCCTCGTTTTGTGTAGAAGATCAAGATGAAAAAATCAATAATCAAACTGAGAAAGTCACTATATCACTTTTTTTTAAGGCAAATGTATCAATAAAGACAACCCAAAAAGATAAAAGTTGATAAGAGATCATATTGTTGCCTGATCCTATGTTTTGAAGCTGTAATGGTTTGTAGGTGTTGATGTTTAGTAGTGTATGTTTGCAAAATTTCAGAATATCCCAAAATTTCTGGTCAAGGCTAAATGCTTTTGCTTACTTACTATCAAATTTTACTGAGGTGTGCAAATAAGAGTTATCTCACTCTTGCATAGTATATACTTCATATTTACAAAATGTTTTAAATATTCTAAGTTCTAACTTGGAACATTTGACATTCAGTCACACTCATGCTAAATTCAATCCAAGATGCTGCTTTCTACTTGCCTTTCTTTAGGATAAATTCATTCAATCACAGAACCTCCTCTGTTTCATGGGATAGTTGTTATTGTATTCTAATTTATCTTCTATGTAGAAGACTGTTTTATGATGGTTAAATATGGTAGAGATACTTCGAGATTCTTACTATCCATTATTCTGAAGGTGAAGTGTGAACATAGTTTAATTCTTTAAAACAGATATGCTCTGATCTTAAAATTAAGGCTTACTGTGAAATTCCATCTTTGTTTGTCATTGTTTCTTCTGGTATCTGCTGATAGTGCTTGCTTCAACTTCATTTATGATGAGTTTATTTAAATTTTATTCTTATTCTGTAGATTTTTTTCAGTCACTTCACTTTCATTAGCATATACTTTTATTTCTTTATTAATCCTCTCACCACGGGAAGGTGAAAGTCAGTGTGTCATGACTTTTTTAGGAAGTTACATTCAAAGTTCAATTAAACTACTTTATTTTTGTTATATGAATAAACTTGCCATTAAAACGTAGTTAATAAATCAAATATTAATATTACGCAAGTTTTAAGTTCTTAATTACATAAGGACATATTTTAAAATAACTCGGTATTCCCTAGTATGAGAATTGTGACATTTGCTTTCTAGATCTTCCCTTTTCTCTAATTTATTTACCACGCTTCTGAGAAGTACGGAATTTATCATGAATTACTCATTATAATATAGTTATTACTTAGGCAAAACAAATTTTTTTTGCCTTCAATTTTATTTGTTTACTGATCCATAAACTAGAAAATCAAACTCACTTACTACACCCACCTGTAATGTCCTTTCTTTCACAAATTGCTTGTAGTTATTGCAAACATATAATATTATCTTACTTATTACCAATAGAAAGCCAAAGTTTCAATCTATCAAATGATATATTATATTATGTTGTTTTCTGTACAGAGGATTGTCTATTTCACTTCTAGTTCAAACTTTATTCCCATGGAAAACACATGGATGAGCTTAGGTGAAATTTTAACAGCACTTATTGCACAGTTACAATGTCAGAAGAATTATGATAGTTATAGGACATTGTCTGCTTTTTTACATGTTATTATTCTGTGTTCTTAGGCACATTGTTTAGTTAAATAAAAAAATACATATTTTAGTAGTACCATTAGTATAAAACATTAGGGTTAAGTTTCATCAACAGTCAACAGCAAAAAAAAAAAAGAAAGACCAGGATAAGTACTAAATTTCTTGTTTTTTCTGTGTATTCTTTAATTACTATTACAAAAGTAACTAAAATGCAAAAAATTAAGAACTTGTTAGGTTAAATTAGGTATGGTAAAGAAGAAAAAAAAATAATAAATTTTCATGAGGTATGCTTGTGGACAGTTTGAGTTGTGTGTTACATAATTTGATAGGGCAATGTGAGCTTCATGTTTGCCAAGTGATTTACAACTTCTATGGCATGAATATTAGTTATACACGGTTCATAGGGCAATAAAAAAAATTATATTTAAATATAAATAGATGTATACTTTTACAAGTTTAAAGTTAGTTTAGGATAAACAAATTTTGTGCCACGTTACAGCTTGAAGTCATTCTAGAAAGAAAAAAAAAGTAATTTTGATTTATTTTAACTTGACCAACCTGGTATATACAGTTAAGGTAGAAAAAATAGCAGATAAAATATAAAGTTATACAGAAAACAAACATTTGAAATTTATTTAGGAGGTTTTAGAGATTATGCAAATGAAATTTGAGATTTTTTCAGATGATGAAAAGTATTGTTAATCTTAACATCAAAATCACTATGCACTTGGAGCAGTCAACACTTTGACTCGATATATTCATGCAGAAAGTTTTAGTAAAAATACTTTAAAATTCTGATTTTTTTGTTTACAAATAATTTAATGCTTACTGAAAGTTTCAAAATTTTGTGAAGATACACAAAACAGAAGTTATAGGATGAAAACTCGGAGGTCAATTTGGGACCAATTTTTAGGTTGAATCGACCAATTTCGTAGGGAGAGAGTTAGTAGTATAATATGTTTTAGTTCTATCTGTTATTAAAACCACAAAATGTGCTACTTAAACATCACCTTTCTTGGCAGACGCTGGTTGTTTGTGCATGTGATCTTCTAGCACTTACTATCATAAAACCACCAGGAGAGTTTGGAGTGGACATTGCTGTTGGAACCAGTCAGCGATTTGGTGTACCATTGAATTATGGTGGACCTCATGCTGGATTTTTTGCTGTACAAGCATCACTGACTCGTATAATTCCTGGTCGCATGGTGGGGGTGTCCAGGTAAATGTTTTGTGTGTTAATTATATAAATGATACCAGAAAATGTTCAAGTATAAAAAAATATTTTTTTTTTACACATTAATTTATAAATTTGAAAATTTCCTACAAAAGAAGTGCTCACATAGTGTATCATCACGTATCAGCTCATGAAGGTAAAATATGTTTATGCATGTTTTTTTTAAACACTGTAAGAACTTATATAATTACAAAGTACAAAATTACTTTTATTGTACTAAATTAATTTTGATTTCTTCTGGTAATTTTTCTTTAATTGTGTAATCTGTGTAAAAATAAAGCAACAAAAACAAATGTCCTGCTAAATGTTTTTGAATATGTGTTAAGCTATCTTGTAAGTAAACTTATGTGTTCACGCTAACATATGAAGTTAATATTATATCTTATATGAAAACATTTTGTGGCTTTTGAGCAATATTGTGTATTAACCCTCTCAAATTTGGGTAGCTGAAAGCATGCATGTCATGACCTTTATTATTAATGTATATGAATAAACTTGTCATCAAAATGTAATTAATATATCAAAATTTAATATTATATAAGTTTTAATTTCTTACTTTGAAAAATAAATATTTATATGAGTTCTCAGTCTTCCTTTCTCTCTGTAATGTGACATTTGTTGCTCTGACTTGTCCAGGCCCAGCATGGCCAGATAATTAGGGCACTTAACTCGCAATCTGAGAGTCATTGATTTGATTCCCCATGTCCCACCAAACATGCTCGCCCTTTCAGTCATGGGGGCATTATAATGTGACAGTCAATCCCACTATTTGTTGGTAGAAGAGTAGCCCAAGAGTTGGCAGTGGGTGGTGATGATTAACTGCCTTCCCTCTAGTCTTTCACTGCTAAGTTAGGGATAGCTATAACAGATAGCCCTCGTGTAGCTTTGTGTGAAATTCAAAACAAACAAACCAAATTGACTTGTCCATTTTTCTGTTTTCTTCATCACCCTTCTATGATATCCTGAGTTTAGTGTAAGTTACTCGTTATAGTATAGATATTACTAATGTATAGTCTTAACTTTTATAGTCTTCAATATTCTTTTATGAAGGTATAAACCAGAAAGTCAAACCCAATTGCCACGCTTTTCTGTCACATCCTTTCACAAAGTTCCAGTAATTCTCTATGATATTTGCTATTACATCATTTATAACCAATAGAAAAACAAAGTTTTAATGTATTGAAGGATGTATAATGCTACCTTGTTATCAGTAAATGGTTTTAGCTATTTCATCTACAGATTAAAAGTTACTGTTGCTGAGTTCATTTTGAGCAGCTAAAGGAATTATCTAAGGCATTTGTGCCTTAGTTATAAAGCCAGCTAAATTATAATAGTTTTAGGATATTATTTACTTTATGTTATTATTTTGCAACTGTTAAAAAAAATGAAAGGCCAAATGTAAGTACTAAATTTCTTGTTTTCTATATATATTTTTTTTATTTATTGTTATAAAAATAATTTAAATGTAAAAATTAAACATTTATTAGGTTAGCTAACAAAACAATTTTTCATAACGTTTTCTTGAGACTAGTTCCCAAATAGCTCATGTGTTATGTCACTGAATACCTTAACTTTAGCTATGCATTCACTGTGGAACTTGTAGCTTGTATCACAGGATGATTAGTTAGACATGGTTCAAGAAGCAATAAAACAAAATTAGATAAAAACAGATGTGAACTGTTACAAACCTTAAGATTTTTAGGTTAAATAATTGTCATTTTCTATTACAATCTGCATTCATTGTAGAAACAAAAAAAAGGGTAATTTCATTTAATTTCAATTTCTTTTGTGGTGGCTGCAAAGTCAGTCAAATCTATTGAATCTGTGTAGTTGTAGGGTAGAGACAATAATAGATAAAATATAAAGTTTTATGATAAAAAGAACTTTGATATTCTTATAGAAAGTTTTAGTGGTTATGCAAATGAAACTTGAACTGTAACATGAAAAAAGTATTTTTAGTCTTAACATGAAAATCAACTTGCACTTGAACTAATCAGAGTCTGAATAATACTCTTACTCCATATATTCACAGACAAATTTTTAGAAATTTTTTTCACTTAAAGCTTACTGAATGTCACAAAGATACACTTACTAAATTAAAAGTTATGGTTACCTGGTGTTTGCAAAGTTGGTAAAAGTGATTGAGTCCCATATCGTGTTAAAATCAGGTTAAGAAAGTATTTATTGCTTGAAGAAATGTAACTAAAAAAAATTGAGTATTATTGGTATTGATCATGTGTTTTAAGTGAGTATATGTAAACATACAATTTGCTAGTTTTTGTTTAAAGGTGATTTTTTATATACATATTTAGAGATGCATCAGGAGATAAGGCATATCGCCTTGCATTACAGACACGTGAACAACATATTCGACGTGACAAAGCAACAAGCAACATTTGCACTGCTCAGGTAACATGGTTTTCAAAATAAATATTTTGTCTGGAGGGTAGATAAAGGTTTTGTTTAACCTCTAAGCTTTAACTTTTTTTTGAACTGGCTTGGTATGCATATGCTATACATCAAGCAGCTTTGCATTACAGAAAAAAATAAAGATTCGTTTTCTAATAAACAGTTACTGTTTTACTTTTGGATACTTTCCCTTCCTGCGAAGACTAAAAAAAAAAAGCAGTGCCGTTGAAACTTTATAGACAGAATTTTTCCTTCAGCTGGTAATTCTTACTTTAATTACTAGTTTATTCATTTTTCTAGTGGAGTTTCCTGAATCAAGCTTATCTTTACTCTGGCATATGGAAAACATTATTAATGATTAAAAACTGAATTTGGAGTTAAGCAAAAATACAGGTAACTATGAGGTTATGTTATTTCCAGAGAAATTTTTAGATGTACCTACCTAAGATCTTTTGGTCCTCTGTACCTCACCCTTTAGCCCTTGCTGTCGATGTCCTTAGTCATGACTGGTCCTACCTTTTCCTATATGCCTATTTTTCTCTCCACCTCCTTCTTCATTTCTTTGCTGTGATTCAGGACACTCCTTGCATGATCTTATTGATGGCCCCTTACTGTCCAGTCCAACATTGGTTTCTGTTTCTCTGTCTTCTCTTGTCCAAGCCATTCTCAATATTCTCCTCCTCCTGGCTCAAACTTGCACATCACATTTTCCTCAAGGAGTGACATCCTTTCATTGTCGTATGTGGGATTTGTCAGTTTCATTGCTTGTTGAGCTTAACCATCTGTTTGGATAGCTTTCTTTCTGTCCCACTCTTGTCACTCCTCCACTTCCTCCATGTAGTGGTCTAAATGGTCTATCAATTACCATTTCCCCTCTGGCCGACCTTTTTTTTACAATATCTAACCTCCTTCTTCAGATTACTCTTTGACTGTGGCTTATCTGTCTCAAACATTATGGGTTATCAGGCAATACTATTATGATGAATTTATTATTCTATATTTATTTTAATATTGATGTTTGTTTAAATTAAACTTGTATTTCGAAATGTACATAGCGTATACTGTTAAATATATATTGCAAAACTCCCACCTATTCTCTAAAGTTGTAGAAGATTCTCGAGTGTAAGAATCAACATCCAAGCATTTCTTTGCATTCAGCACCACATTGTATATAATTTTATCTGTATGCTTTTTAGGCCCTCCTTGCTAATATGTCTGCAATGTATGCTGTATACCATGGTCCTGATGGACTCCGAGCTATTGCCAACCAAGTTCATAATGCCACTCTTTGGCTGGCTAAAGGTTGGATTCTTTATATTTTATATATTTATATTACTTCTTAAAAATGTATTTCACTGGATGTTTCTACTTATACAGTTTTACATGTATTATCATTATAAAGGTTTGAAATACTGTTATGTACTTCAAATCTTTTTTAACTGTTTATTTTGGCACAAAGCTGCCCTATGGGGTTCTTTCTACTGTAGTTGTTGTGAGGATCAGACTTCATAGTTTTTCAGAGAAAATTTAAAGAAAGTTTTATTGGGTTTCCAAAATAAAAAACTTTTAAAATAACTATCATGATTTATCTTTTTAGATTAATTAAAATCTTGTATAAAACATTTCAGGTTTGGTGATTTTTATGAAAATATGATGTTTTTTTATTTTTGTATTGACTAAGGATATGACGTTTTTTATTCTTGCTTTGACTGAGGATATGATGTTTATTTTATTTTTGTAATGATTGACATATGATCCTGGTGATCATTTGTTACCTAGTTTTATAGTGGGCATAGAGCTTTATGGCCATTTACCAATATGTATATATGCTACTAGTACAACAACAGTAGGTCTCAAAATAAAATGTTTTTTGTTTTCTTCTTAGAATAGAGTATACAAAAAATGTTCATTTTAACAATACATAATCCTTTAATCAATATTGAAAATAATGCTTTATTATAAATACTCATGACTTGACTAATCACACATCCCAATCAGCTTGTAATTAACATATTGTTCTCATAAGATATTTTCCTAGCTCTTTGTAAAAACAAAATGTATGAAAGCATTTTTTATTTTAATTCAAAAAAATACATTCTTAGTTTCTTAGATTTAAAAATAATTCTGACCACAAAGATTAATGTATTTTTCTTTGGCAGCTAACTTTACAAAAAAGTTGGTCGTGTATTGTTTTATTATTGGATAGTTTTTGTATAAATATTTTTTCAAAGTTAAACCAGTGTTAAGTTTAGTGATGGCACTTGCATTGTGAAATATGATACTTCCTGTATAATTTTGGAATATATATAAATTTTTCAGGTATAAGGGAAGCTGGTCATGCAATGGAAAACTCGGTTGTTTTTGACACTTTGAAGGTCATGCCATGTGTATCTCAGGGTGAAATTCGAAAAAGAGCTCATGAATTAGAAATTAATCTTCGCTACTACGGAGATGGCTCAGTATGTCAGATCAGTTTTATAATTAATTATTAGAGCTGTAGACTTGTGTAGTATCTTTGTAATATTGTTTTTCAGAAACAGATTCAGATTCTTAATATGTTTAGGAACCTTGTATATATTTTTTGTTTATAAGAACTGAGCCATAAGAGTTGAGAAACAATGTTATTTGTGTGTGTTTATGAAATATCTATCTGATCTGATAAAGGTTTTTGCTTTCTAAACATTGCTTAATCTTCATATAGTGCAGATTTAAATGAGTTTTCAATTTGCAATGTGCATATTTTCATGGATGTTGAAACTATTTTTAATCAAAATTGTTTTAATTTGGTGAGTGAGAAATTCTGTATAATACAAGATGTGGATAGTTTTAAATTGTGTAGTAGCTAGTTTTAACTTTAATACACTTCTGTAATAATTATGAGCTTCTTTAGAATATAAAAAAATGTCATGGTATAATGATCTACTAATTATTTCTCATTATCAGTACTTTTAATTCTTGTAAAGGAACTTGGACTTTTATCACAAGAAGTATCGCAGAAGTTAGCACATTTTCTTCTTATTTATCACTAGATCTTAACTATGCATAACAGTTATTTATTAAAATTACTTGAAACATACTTTTCATTTTGTTAACTTAGGTTGAAGTGGAGTTTCTTTGGATGAAATTGTTAAAAAAAGGATATGAATAATTTACTTCAGCTGTTTGGTTTAGTACTAGGTTGTATTGGATTTCCTAGGCTTAGTAATAAGCTAACCAATTTAACTTTTATTGTACAATCTCTAGACAATTTATAACTATTTCAAAATTCAAAAACTATTTATGAAGATCTACTTAATACTTCTATGATCACTAATGTAATTTTAACAATGTAAAAGCATTTCATTTTCAGTGAACTTGAAGTGGATGACATTTAGTGGGAAGGTAACATTTTAACATACTTTCACTTCTAGTATTCTTAGTACTTGTAAAAGAATTTAGACTTTTATTGTAGGAAATATGGCAGAAACTAGCACTATTTTTTTTTTTAACACAGAATCTTAACTATACATAGTACTGTTATTTATTAAGATTATTTGAAATGCACCATTCATTTTGTTAATTTAGGTTGGAGTTTCTTTGGATGAAACTGTTAAAGAGAAGGATATGAATGATTTACTTCAGCTGTTTGGTGTCAAAAAGAAAGTTGTAAGTATTAATTTGATGAAATACTAATTTTTATTTTATTTTTCTATTAGTGGCTGCATATTTTTGGGAGTTTTATTTGCAAATTACTGGAAAATATTTGCTTATTTAAAGTTAGCTACCAGCTGAAAAGGAATTAACAGAGAAGTTATATGTTTTTTGTTTTTCATGTTAACAGATGAATTTTAAGTTCATCAAAGTAACATATTATATATAAGCCTAAAATATACTGATCTTTAAAAATGTTCGTTGTTTTCATTTTGTTTCTTGATTTGGTTTTCATGAAGAAATAGTATACATACATTAGCTAACCCATTGGTCTATGGCCCACATTTACAGAGCCAGTATAATGCAAATTTAATGCTTAAACCACTATTTTGCACTTTTTCAGTTTAATGTTCATTGCTGCTATAATGAAAACTTAATTTCTTTAACACTTTCACTACGGGCATCTTTTTCTGTACATGTCACGAGATTTTAGTAAGTTACATTCAAAATTTAATTAAATCTTTCGACACGGGGTTGGTCGATTTGACCGAGTCACGTGACTTTCTGTACTCATTTAAAGTTGACATCAATTTAATACTTATAACTCTCTATATATTGGGTATATCTTCACGAAATTTGGGAATCTTTCGGTCAATATTACAAGTATTTTTAATAAAATAGAATAAAGTTTTGTCCATGAATATATTGAGTACTTGTTTTGAATAGCCCATGTGCAAAGTAATTTTTATGTTAAAATTAAAAATCCTTTTCTTCATCTCAAAAATATCAAATTTCTTTTGTGTAATCCCTAAAACTTCCTAAATGCATTTCAAAGTTTTTTTTTTTCAGTAAAACTTTATTGTTTATATGTTATTTTCTCTACCCTATCTGAAAACAGGATA